TAGGGATCCTTTCTCGTATGCTTCGCATGCTTTCCTTGCACGCATATTAGTAACGCTCCGTTCTAACCTGCATTCAGGCGTTCTTTTTTGTAGGCTCAGTCTCCAGTCGTGGCGGTGTTTCGGTACGCTCGCGATCCTCTCCACCGAGAGGATCGGGACCCAAAAAAGAAGACGATTGAGAAAAGTGCTAATTCACTTTTTTCCTGAGCTTCTCTCTCCAGCTCTTAAACGAGGTACGTTATTCGCTCCTTAAAATAGCTAACAGGTCAATATCCCAAACTCTAAAATACAAGAAAGGGCGGTTTTTATAACAGGCTGATAAAAAATGGATATAAGCGACCCAGTGATTTCTTTTAGCCCATAGATAACAGTTCATCGAGTAAGTGGAACCAAAAACATTACCGTAACGGTAGTTTGAATATCTCATCTTAATTAGCATAGTTTTTACGATTTTATATCTCCGTTTTTTTGTTAACTCGAAAAGTGTCCTTGTTTTTTAGAAGAAGCTATTAATAAGACCATCAACAAAAGCCCTTCACAACGCGTTTAATATCGGTATGAACTAGGCAAATAATTATAAGGCAGGTCTGAAACAGGGTATGGGTCAGGTCATAAAAAGGATATCGAATTTTTGGTCAGGTATGGAAATCGCAGATTTTGGTCATGAAGAGGATAATGGTTTTGTTAAAGCGGGCCGCACACCCCATGCAATTTTTCTGGAAGTTCTCCCGCCCCCGGCCTCCCGAGACGAAGTGTCCTCTGGACCTTCAACTTTTTCGTGTGACTTGCTTCTTTATTCTAACAGTTCAATCAGAGTTTAAAACCAAAGTAAAACAAAACATGATTCCGGGGCGCGGTTTTACTCTGCTTTTTTGTTCTTTTGCATTGAAAAGTTGGAACATTTTACACTGGGCACTGGTTTTTTTTCTGGAAATTGTAGAAGGTGCTTACTATTTCGCAAAAAAATCCGGAAATTTTGGTTGAAAGTCAAATGGAATAGCAATTTTCCGGAAAACCGCCAACTGAAGAGGCGCATGCTCTTCGCTGACCCTGCAAGAAGACTATTCAACTACCTTATGTAAGAAACCCTGACGAGTATTTAGGTTATTAATTATTTTTTTGTGCCAGCGGTTTCCCAGTGCAAAATATACCTGCTATTTATTCATCACGTGTAAGCAAGCAAAACAAACAAGGTTAATGATTCGACAGGTCCATGGATTAGGATCTCAGGCGTTTGTGTTGCACGTAGAGTTGAAATTTTTGAAGAATTCACAAGCTACGTAAAGTTTAAGAAGAACCTTTCGCTTTGAATACAAGATTGTATTTTGTATTCGAATTTGTATCCACTGGAAATGCTGGTTGTAAGAGATATCTCGAGGTAAGGTTAGCTAGCGAATGGCCGTCAAAACTCTCTGAAACGCCACAGTTTGATTTAGTAGCATGTGGATGGTTTCCTTTCTCGTGCTGGGCATGAATTGATGTGACCTTTTATTCACTCAGTCGTGCGTATTAAATAATCAAGGGTGGGAAAATTGTTTTGGTGTAGAACTACTTGTACAAAAGTCAAAGAAGATGGCGGCCGTACATTTTACCATAAACGCCTTGCGAAACAGCCATTTTAGGCACATCTACATTCGAAATTCTTGTTTTTGCACAATTCTTCCCCGTACTAACGGCATTTTGCATTATAGGTCTGAGATTTTTAGGGGTATTCTGTGGTTCTTTAGAGGGTGCGCTCAGATTGATTGCATGCAACCTAACCCCCTCCCCCAACCCCAGGGATGTAAGGCTCTGGCATTTGCACCTTCTGTAGAGAACAGAACAAATACACCACTATAATCATGAGCCAGTTTCAGTTTGTCAATTGCCCTGCCCTCTGTTGCTTCATACTGNGTAATTGTTTTCTTGCTCTAGTCAGTGAATTGAACTGCATTTTCCCTTCTCAATTCTGTGTTACTTTATACATGTAGTTTACAGGGAAAATATGCCGTCTTTGTAGCATTTCCAAATAGAGTTTTAGTGTTACACGAGTCAACTGTGAGCCCAAGTCAACCTCGAGTCACGAGTCAGCCTCCAGTCAAACATGAGTCAAGCCAATGTTTTTTTTTTTTTTTTATTTTGTTCCGAAAAAAAAAAAATAGATTGTAGGAAATAAAATACGTGAATACAGGTGATTTTCTTCATTTGTCCATTTCAGCTCTATAAGGTTATTGTCACTATTGTTGTTGATTTCTTTACGAAACAAATGCAGCTTTGCAACACTAATACAGTTCTGTAAACACGATCCTGCAACAGTTATTGGAACTTCAAGGTCGGGCACGAAATTCAGGAAAGAGGCAACTCGCTCATGTGGTCCGAATGTTTAATATTGTTCAACTTTTGTCTGAGTCAGTAGATAGTCTACTAGATTCATGTCACTCACTACATGTATTTGGATAAGACAATCTTAGGCCGTCTTTACATGTCCACGGGTTGCATTTTACCCGGGGTTGAATCACTGCAGAGAGAACTAAAAATAAGCACTTACTTATACCAACCTGGGTTGTTAGCGTGTGGTTTCCTTCGAGCCTGACGGCAGGCCAGCCTTTCTACTGATCAAAAACTGAAAACATGGGCTAGAAAGATGACAAACAAAAAACCTAGATAGTATAACGGAATGGTGGCAGTTCCTGATGTACAAACCAAAAAAATGAAACAACATGGTTATTTTAGTGGAAGGACCAAACCAGGTTTAGCTTTTGGCCCACTGTTTACATGTAAGAATTGAAGAAATTTCAACCCCTCTTGCCGGGTCAACCTGGCTCTCGGTTACCTGGCAAGGGGGCCTGACCCGGCTTGACTACTGTTTTCATGTAAACACTTAAAAACATTTGACTGCAAAAGGGTTACCCGACACGGTCAAGAAGGGTCGTGTAAAGAGGGCCTTACCTTGATAATCAGCAATGGACACAGCAAATAACGTGAATTACCATAGTTTGGGGGGACTGAACATGATCCCAAGGTCCGGCGTAAGACTCCAAGATGGTGTGAGCTGCGATTGAGGTGGGCCTGTTAGACAATCTATATTCATATATTTTAATTCCTACAATCTATATTTTGTGGGGGACAAAATAAAAGAAGGAAAAAAATTGTCTTGACTCGTGGTTGACTCAAGGTTGACTTGTGACTCGAGGTTGACTTGGGCTCGCGGTTGGCTCGTGTAATGCTACAACTTTTCCAAATGAGCAGTTATAAAGTCAATGTACTGTCAATTGGTTTAAGATTTCTGATTCCTGTCGCTGTCATACAATGTAATATGCTTTGTCCTGCAACAACAATGCAGTTACTAATCAGCTGCCTGAAAGTTTTGACCGGGATTCTGTTCATTTCCTTAGTGTAACATTGTCATCTCCTATAATGAGCTAGAGAGAATTGATTTACTTGTATTTTTCGGTTTTCCAACAGTTTCTGGCTGACTGATTCCATTAACAATGGTCACGTCAGGGATAGTTCCAGTAACCAACAAATAGATTTGAACAGGGAAGGACCTTATTTCCATCATAGGAAATGGTGAGTACAGTTTCTCTTTTTAGTAAAATAAATATTTTCCAGTGCATTTTTGTTTGTTTGTTTGTTTGTTTGTTTCTTTATCTGGGGACTCCATGTTCCATCATCTTCTAAATTCTTCTGGGAAACTATTTAAATTTACTGTATCAATATTGGAGGCAAGAACCTGTGATCAAAGGACTAATCTTTTTTCCTTATGCAAGGCTGCCTACATACTTAAACTGCATAATTGAACAGACCTTTATTGTAACCAAGTAAATCATGGTTTGTGGTGAAACAGGATTTGTAATTTCTTGGTGGTTATTTACCAGAAATGATATGTGAATGATCCATAGTCTTTAAAACTCAAGCACCTGAATTAATTGGCAGTAAGATGGTTCACTCTGGTGGCTTTCACTTGCTTGCCTGTAGACCTTTGGAATGAGAATTATAAAATGATTTCATGCAAAGATTAATTACAAACTTTTGTCAGCATATCTCTGGCTTATTCTGGATATAGTATTGTGCTCGGCAAAGGGACCACAAACAGTAGTCACTTGCAAACTGTCTTTGGGGAGAGTTATTAATTAAAAATGAGAGGAAATTTTTTGTGGTGTTCAGTTGCTTCAAATGTTGTTATGTGAATTTTTCGTGACATTCCAATTGTGACAAGTTTGTTCACTTGAAATGAACTGGGAATGGAAAGTCCCTTAAAAGTACATAATCATGTAATGTCAAAGCTAAGAAATTAATCTGAGCAACCATGTATATTAATTTTGAAATTTAACCACATGACAGTTAATTTATTATAATCTTGCTTGGAGACTACTGTACTTTGAAAATATTTGGTTTTGTCGAAGAGGCACAGACCATCCATGTTTTGTCATCTATGTACTTGTACGGTGTATGCCATATAATTTTGGCGATATGGCCATCATTTCAATTTCCGTTGTTTTCCAAGAAAGGAAGTTGCCAATGTTGGTAACAATAATGTTCAGCATGGACCAGCTAATTTTAGTATAATTTTATGATTTTTCTCTAAATCTCGTCAGTAGTAGTTTTGCGAAGCATACATACACATACAATGTATCCGGAATAATAATCATTTGTTTATAGTCTGTTTAAAATGAAGGAAAAACTTCCACTATCACTGTGGGGATACCTTTCCCGCTATTAAAACACAGGAGCTACAGCTGTACAGCACTCGCTAGAC